AAGACATCAAAAATGAAGACACACACACACCACACACACACACACACACAGAGAGATAGAGAAAGAGAGAGAGAGAAAGAGAGAGAGAGAGAGAGAGAGAGAGAGATAGAGAGAGAGAGAGAGAGAGAGAGAGAGAGAGAGAACGAAAACAAACACACGAAACATCACACAACCACTAACTACAAACACCGGTATAAAAACCCAAATCTCAACACCGACGTGAAGATGAACCAACAATCACAAACACAAACAGAATTACAAATTACTGAATGACGTGCAGGCAGATACATCCATATCGGCCGCACGTGCACTGCATGAAGTTAACACGCTTACAGAAATTAATACATTCGCAATTAAAGTTGAAAAACATACTTTTAAAAATTAAAGATAAGCCTATTCGGTTTCACTCACACGCGTCTAACACACATATACAAATGCAAAAACGCACCATCCTTACCGATGAAATACCTACAACATTCACCTACCCATCAAACAAACACACAAACATATATATCTCAACATACCAAGTTTTATAAGCGCGAAAATACATAAACATACACGTACAAGCATTAAAAGTCAAAGCAGGCACACACAAACAAATACACACACATACATGCACGTAAACAAATCCGCATAACCATGTATGTACGTGTATATGTATCTTTGTATTAATATGTCTGTATATTGTATATAAGATTGTATTTATGTATGTTTTTCTATAAGGATACATCCGCAGGAGAATTTTTCTCCTCCTTTCATAAACAAATTAGCGTTTACGTAGCTTAAACAAATTGATGTTTATGTTGTTTATGCAAACAGCGTTGTGTTCATTATTGTTTATATAGCCAATTAGTTTAACATTGTGTATAAACTCGATTTGTTTATTTCTAAATGTCTTGCTGAATTAAAAATATAATTAAATTTGAAATAATTACACGTATATTCATTATATACACTTCAATGTTACGTCATAAATATTCATATTTGTTGACGTGAGTCTATTTATATCATCCGGTCAGCCAGCCAATGAGCGGCTGGCAGAGCAATGACGTCACGCATATATACATAACAAATTATTGATTATGCTTCCTACGTAGAATGATTTATATTATTTTTATATGCCCGTCATCTCATCATTACCATCATCATCATCATTACCATCATCATTATCATCATCAGTATCATCATTTTTGTTTTCATTGTTATTGTCATCTTTTTCATCAGCACCATCCCCCACAACCACCATCATCGCCATCATCATCACATCTTCATCATCACCATAACCATCATCACGGCCATTGCCATTGCCATCATCATCACCATCATCATCATCGCCATCACCATCATCATCATTATTGCCCTCATCATCATCATCATCATCATCATCATCATCATCATCATCATCATCATCATCATCATCATGGTGGTCATCACTAAAAGCGTGCCAGGGAGGCATGCGATCAATCTTCAGCACAATGCGCAATGCTGTCCAACAAGAATGTGTGAAATACTCCTCTCAGTATGTCTGTCTGTCCGTGTTTGTGTCCGTGTTCGTATGTGTGTGTCCGTGTGTGTGTGTGTGTGTGTGTGTGTGTGTCCATGTGTGTGGGTTTGTATTGCTGTTTGTGTGTTTTTCTCAGCTTGTGTGACTGATGTGTATGCATTGTATGTGTGTGTTGCTGTGTGTTTATTTTGTGCCTTGCTGAGTGTGCGTACAACAACAGCAACTGCAGTCACAACAGCAACTGCAGCCACAACAACATTCATGAAACAAACAACTCAACAACAACATCAACAACGTGGAAAATGGCGACTGGGAGGACTGTTAATGGGTGTATTAACAGTGAGAATAATTAAAATCAGTGAGTGAGTCAGTCGCGTAAACAACAACAAAAACAACATCAAGAACAACAATAACAACAACTCAGCACCAGCAACCAGAAACAACATCAGCGAAAACATTATGCGCTTTGTCGTACACACAATTTGCAAGCTAATATACCCAGACACAGCGTGTACAATACCCGCCTTTTATACATAGACTATTTGATCTTTTGTTTGTATTGTTTTGTATCAGTATTTTCAAGTATTTGTGTGTTTTTTAGAGTTTAATGGAAGTTTTGTATGGCCAAATTGTTTTTTGTTCGCGATTTGTTTTAATTGAATGCATAGCGACGATTAATGTTTGAGGTTTTTGGTTGATGTATCGATGTTTAATGAGAGGTCTTTGTTATAATGTGGATGTTTTTTCAATTGGGTTTTTTTATTTTAAATTTAACATTTATTAACATAAATTAACATTTATTAACACAAATTAACATTTACTAACATAAATTAACATTTACTAACATAAACTGGTTCATATATAGGCTCTCATGTTTATTTAGATATATTTCATCTTAGTATATTTCGGTAATTTCTGTTTATTAGATTTTTCCAAAATTTTATCATCAATATTTCTTAATTTCTATAGTTTCAAATTTCCTAAAGTAACACTTTCACATCTAGGTACATGTTCGTAAAATATTTGTTGTTTAATATGAAACATTGTTTAATACGTGACGTTCAACACGCAGCTCAATAATATGTTGTTTATCATACTTTATAAAAAGGACATTGTATATTTAACATGTGATGTTTAACATAAGATGACTGTTTAGTAACTGTTGTTCAACCATTGCTTAATGTGTGTTTAACATAAACATACAGACAACCATTGTATATTTAACATGTGATGTTTTGTATAGGATAGTTGTTTAATAACTGCTGTTCAAACATTGCTTAATGTTGACAAACATTGTATGACGAATGTGTGATGGTTTAACATACAGCCACCGCATAACGTGTTGTTTAACATATTCTACAAACGGAAATTGTACGTTTAACATACGATGTTTAACATGGGAAGGATAGTTGTTTAGTTTGTTTAGTAGATGGTTCTCATGTGTGCAATTAGGACGAAATATTTTTTTGCGTCTAGTCATAATCGATGAAGATTTTTCTTCTTCTGACATACAGGTATCATGTATCTTTTCCATTTTTTCATTATTATATATCTTATTAATTTTTTTATAAATATTTCTTCTTATTATTATTATTTCTTTGTTTTCATTTACATTAGTGAGTTTGTTTTGAAAATTTTCATACAAAAATGTATTAAAAATAATGTTTTTTGAAAAATTTGTGTTGAATTGAAATTTAAAAACTTTGTGCGAAAAAGAAAAATAAATAAGAAAAAAAAAACTAGAAAAAAACAAAAAATAAATATATGATGATGTTAGTGAAAGAAAACATAGGCACACCAAACCGAGAAAAAAACAACGCAACCAAATCTTTAGGGTCATTTCATTTTAAATGTAAATTTGAAAAAAATTCAACATTAAGTTAAAAAAACTATTATTTTACATTTGAAACTTTAAAAAAAAATATTAAATCTTTTAATTATATTAACTTATTTACATTCTTAATTTAATTTTTGTGAAACTGCGTTTCATAAACATGTTTGTTTGATTGTTTAGTTGTGTTTATTGGTTGGTTGGTTGATTGATAAATTGGTTGATTGATTGGTTGATTGATTGATTGGTGGGTTGATTTATTGGTTTAATGAATGATTGATTGATTAATTGATTGGTTGGTTGATTGATTGATTGTTTCAAGTTTATTATTATATATATATATTCATTATATTATTTATACGTAGTAATAATAAATGATATAAAAATTGAAATGACGAAATTTGGAAAAAACAAACAAATAAAAAAAGAATCTTCCAACAGCGGGAAAACATGCCAAGAATTAAAAAAAATGGATATCGTCGTTAAAATTTCTTTGTCTTGTTTTGCAGCGTCGCTGGCCATACTTTTATTTCTATGGAAAATTCAAATTTTCATTCAATTTATTTACTGCCTATTCAATTTTTATCAAAAGTTCTAGCTACGATGATGAGAATAATTTATTCATTCAGTTAACCAACAATCATATTATCTATCCTGTTATTTAATTGATTGTCAATTTGACAAATCAATCAATCAATCAATCAATCAATCAATCAATCAATCAATCAATCAATCAATCAATCAATCAATCAATCAATCAATCAATCAATCCATCGATCGATCGATCGATCGATCAATCAATCGATCGATCGATCAACCAACCAATCAACTAATCAACTAATTAACCAACCAATCAATCAGCCGATCAATCAACCGACCAACCAACTGACCAGTAATTCGGATTCGTACTGACTCCTGAAGCACTCACCAACAGGAAAGAAATCCCAACATCTTTGTTGGTACAACTGCCATACGTAAGATTCCTGGTAGCGTGATGATGACGACGACGACGACGATGATGATAGTGGTGAGGATGGTGAAAATGATGATGATTTTAATGATGACGGAAGTTAAATTGTTTATAAAAAATCCAAATTAAACATAATAATATAAATGGAAAAATCCTCATCAGTACCACCACAACCACCACTATCATCATCATCATCATCATCATCATCACCACCACCACCATCATCATCAGCACCTGTCCAGTATATTCGGTATCCGGCTTGTTGATGAGGTGCATGAGGAAGAACCTTTAAAAGGCAACGTAAGAGCATTGTGATGATGATGGTGGAAATAGTAATAATAATAATAATAATAATAATAATAATAATAATATTATTATTATTATTATTATTAATATAGGAAAATAATGATGAAGAAGATGATGATGAATTTTATAACTATAACAATATAAAATAATTTATAAAAAAAGTTTATCCGTTCAAATTCCTATCTATCTACCTCCGGGTGCCAAGTTCATGCAGTCATCCATTTAACCGCTCATCAATCAAACTATCAATCAGTCAAATAATCGATCAAGCAATTAATCGATCATTCATTATTTCGTTCATTCATTTATTTGTTCATTCATTCGTTCATACATTTTTCCATCCATCCATCCATCCATTCATTTTTTCGTTCATTTCATCTGCTCATGTGTCTATCCATCAATCATTTTCCTTTCAATTCATCCAACTCAAACAGAAAAATAATTTCAAATTGTAAAGTTGTGCCATAGACTTTTCGAATGAGGGTTGATACTAAATAGAAAAAAAATTTACAACCAAAACCTATTTTAACAATTTTGAATAAACATTTATGAATTAAATTAACTAACCAATTAATTAACTAATTAAACATTTAATTGAATTCAGTTAAATTTTTTCAAGAACTTACAGATAATTAGCGAAGTTGTGTTCATTTTGCACGTGTGTCTCAAAGCCGTGCGGCTGCTTGTCAAAATATTCCTTGTTCATCCCACAGATGAAGCAAGAAGACTGGCCGGTGGGTGGGGAATAATTAAAATTAATTAAAGTAATGATAATTATTAAATTAATTATTGGTGATAATTGATAAAATTATTGTAAAATTTATTAAATTAATGATAATTTATAGATTGATAATAAATTATTGACCATTAATTTATAAATTGAACATTATTTATTTCATGCAATTTAAAAAAATTGTCCCACCTCCAGATCGCTTTTCACTTGCTCCAATTGGTCTCTCAACTCGCCGAATGCGTCAATGATGAGACCTGTCGAAATAGACAGAGACAAGAAACACTTGAAACATGAATCCACCATATGTTATTTGTTCATTCATTTGCTAGTTTACCTACTACTAACTCTACCTAATCATGTCTGTTTTAAAATCCTTCATTATTCAGAAACCAGCCACACTATTCGTACATAAGTCAGTCAATGTATGAAAATACGGACATGTCAGCAAATGATAAAGCAACCAGCCAATCTATAAACACTCATCGACCCAAACGTTCCACATCATTTCCACCCACCTTGAATGATGGCTAGAAGGATGACGATGACAAAAAAGAAGAAAGTAATATCAAAGAAGATACGGTAGACTTCGTAGGGATCGCCATCTGGAGGGTTGATCTCGTCACCTGGCGAACAACAAAAAAATATGTTGTATATGTACATATGTACACTTGTACAGGTAACGCATGTACAGGTGTACGGTTTACATACAATTTTGTATGTTTTATATATAAATGTATATGATTGCATATTTATCGGAAATTGTATGTATGTATCTAACGGATATATGCATGTTTGTATCTAGTGTATGTATCTTACGAATGTATGCATGTATGCATGTATCTTACGAATATATGCATGTTTGTATCTAGCGTATGTATGTATGTATCTTACGAATGTATGCATGTATCTTACGAATTTATGTATGTATGTATGTATCTTACGAATTTATGTATGTATGTATGTTTGTATCTAGCGAATGTTGTATGTATGTATCTATCGTATCCACACCAACCTATTCCACCGCCGGCTCTGACGCCAACATAGAGATGGAAGACGTAACACTGTTTGAAAATAATAGAACGTTTCAATTTCATTAAAAATTGTGAAAAAATTAGTTCAAGAGCGTTTAAAAAAAACTGCAAAATGAAGAATAAATAAAACAACTAACTAATCAATACTAATTGGTTAATTACTATACTATTAGAGCTATTATAATTAGTATACTAATTATAACAATGCAGCCACTAACTGATAGCATGTCGTGACACTTGTAGTCAACTTCATCATCTTCCTCTTGTACGTAGAACTTTCTGAAGAAGTTGAAGGCAATGACGGTGTAGAGGTAGACGATGATACTCAACAACATCACCGTTAATACCAGCTGTTTTTATTTTATTTGCGTATTTTGGTATTGTTTCTTGTATCTTTTAAATAAATTTTTTTAATGTTTTTGTATTTTTTTTTCGGCAAATTCATTAAAATCTGACGCCGAGTAGCTAAACTTTGATTTAAAACTTTAAATGAACAAAATTGACTTTACTATTCTTTGCATATATACAAGTGTATAAAATTATTTATAAAATATTTTTCAAATGCATCAACAGCAAAGCCACATGTGAATACGTGCTAATCAAGGTCTTATACGAAAAGCACGTGAGAAGGCATATGCATAGGAAAGCGGTCAGTCTGTATCGTCAGTTATCAAAACCACCACCAACATTATTTTAAGTTTCCACCGAACCAAAAAAGTCGTCCACATTGTCATCGTATCACCATCAACGTTATCATCCTAACCAACATCATCATCATCAACAACCGTATCATCATAACCATTAACATCATCATCATCAACAACCGTATCATTATAACCATCAACATCAACATCAACAACCTTATCATCATAACCATCAACATCATCATCAACAACCTTATCATCATAACCATCATCATCTTCATCACCATCAACAATCATCACCACACACAGCAGTCACCTGTTTTCCATTATGAGTGACTGACTGCAGTATGGTGCCGAGCGTCTTGAAGCAGACGGCGACGTCGAGCAGGTGCGAGGCGTAGAAGAAGTAGTTGAAGTTGCCGAGGATCGAGAAGAAGAAGTAGAAGAGAATGTAGAGGAAGGCCTGATGATGGTTTGGTGGTG